TTTAGTTTGGTTTTTTGTTTGTTTGGTTTTTTTGGAGGCTAACCATTTTATACTACCCTCATCCCTCTTCAATCCTTGTTCATTATATTATAGAAAACTCAACTCAAGGGAAAGGTTAAACAATTCTTGAAGCCAAATAGATACTATTTAAGTAACTCTTTTAGACATTTGGTTTTAGTTTAATCTATGTATGCACTTGGAAGAGAAAAAAAAGTCAATTTCTATGCCGGCAAATTCAAAACTGGTCTGATTTTTCACTTTCCTGAAGCACTCGGTTGTCTTTTCAGACTGAGAAATTTCCAGAGTTCCCTTAAGTCTCGGGGGATTTAAGAGTAAGAGCTTTAGCTTATCGTTTAAACTTATTTTAAGGTTCAGGATGTGTAAGTTGCTTCCTATTCATACAGCAAATAAAAAGAACTGTAGACAATATAATGTCCAGTTCCCAATTGAATTCAGGAGCAGTCTGAATGAAATCAATGATTCATGAAATCTGTACTCTCACGTTGCTATGGAGATTCCAGGCATACAATTGCAGGTTCTACAGATCCCAGATGAAACACTCCTAGATCAGTTACAAGAGGTGTCTTCCTGTACTCACTACAAATAGAGGATAGCATGGCAACTATGGATTCTATCCACAAGTGAAATCCACAGCCAAGACTTATTAATGTGATCTATTTTACTATAAAATTTAATCAGCCTTTTAACCAAATACTTGATTTTCATGTGACATTAGCAGAAGGACACTGGAACCCTCCTTCCTCATAACACAAAACTGGAAAATACTTGGAAAAAAGACAACCTGAAATTTGTTAATTTTTTTCCTTGGCACTCGCAGATAATATCAATATAAATAGTCATAGCTGGCAACGTAAAATACCAGCGTGGCAAGGAATACTTAATCCTAGCTCAAGAAAAATAGTCTTAAGGAAAAAAATTTCTAAGGTGAATTTTTGGGTGTTCATGCTTCAAATCACCAGTGTCTTCAAGCACCAACTTCTGAAATGATGCAAGAAAGCCATGACAATAGGTGCTGCACAGGGGCGGCTCCAGGCACCAGTGCACCGAGCGCGTGCCTGGGGCGGCCTGCCTGTCGCCATGAGGGCAGCAGTCAGGCTGCCTTCGGTGGCATGCCTGCAGGAGGTCCGCCGGTCCCACGGCTTCAGCAGCAATTCGGCAGTGGGTACGCCAAAGGCGCGGGACCAGCGGACCTCACGCAGGCATGCCATTGAAGGCTGCCTCACTGCCGTGCTAGGGACGGCAAAATACATAGAGCCACCCCTGGTGCTGCAGAAGAGTTAATAAGTGAAACAATGCTGATTTTATGGCTACCTGATAATTCTTATCTCCACAGACAGACAGTCTCAAACAAACCAATCTATCCATACGTACATCACTTACAGACATTTCTGGCACTAAATGCGTTATCTGTGCAGCTCACATTAAAGAATTAAAAAAATCCAAATCCAATGAAGAAAGAAAGTAATCCCATTTTCAAGTAAGGCAAACTGGCACAGAAACACTGAGTAACTTTCCCAAGGTGACATGACACTTGTGGAAGTGCCAGTAATAGAACCCGATATCTCAGCACCCAATCACTTGAGCCACAGTTTGGACATATTGTCTTAGACATAATATTGACTTAATCTGCAGAGTAAGTGTCCAAACAGAGAGCTTGTGCAAAATATCCATTCCCCTTTAAATTCACACCCTAGCTATTCTGCACTAATTTCCCTGTGAATACTCTAAGCAGGTAAAGTCCTCAGTATCACATACACCACAACTGCCATTGGATTGACTGCTCTTTGGAGATTATTTGTTTCAAACATTGGTTTCACCACCACTCCATTTTTCTGTACTGCTGCCATTTCTCCAAGAGTATTCATTCCTGTGTAGCATGCCTACTCTTTCCAATTATTCTACAGTAACACAACACAGATTGCAGGGTGAATCCCAAGGGCATCCCTGAGCAATTGTTCAGCAAATGCCTGTATTCAAAGTTATTTTAGATAACAAAGGTGCAGCCTGTTACATAAAATTGCTATCAAAGCAAAAAACAAAAACAAAACAAAAAACACCCATGTTGGAGACAGACTCGTTGGAAAGGGATTCAGTTAAAAGAACTGTGAAATGGGATCTTTTTTACAAGCTACTGGTACCAGACCAATTTCTCAACACAACGGACAAAAGAGAAAAATTCATCCTGTTTTTCATTCAGTATACTGCAGAGGAGACATGCTATTAGAGCAATAGGACTATTTCATCCGCTATGCTTTAAAACTGAGGTCCTCCAATTCCACGATCTCCATGAAAGAAAGTGAACTGGAGATGGGTAACGGAAGCAATTTAAAGATACCCACAAAGAGGAAATAGTGGGGGGTTACTGACAGAGCATGGGGAAGCTATAGCTGATGAACAGTTAGTAGTGGAATGAGCAGAGCTAAGATAGTCCAGGACAGTATTATGCAAGTGTCATATCTAGTATAACCAAAACCAACAGTTTATCTGCCTCAACCATGGCTTGTGGTGACTATACAGCCGTGACTGACTCAGTTTATAAAACCCACAGATTTGGAGTAAGCCACCCACAGTCTAGGCATGTTTGCACAATCTGTGTAGCAGTGGTTTTCAGATGCAGTAATAGATTCGACTTAAAATCATAACAACATTAGAAAGTTGTAATGTTCTGGTGTACTAATGAATGTTGCAATTGGTTCACACACAGAGTTTCCAGGAATCAAGTTAGGGACAAACATACTACACGAACCTAGAAAAGAGACAGTCATTCAAGCAATTTGGAACACTGCAGAGTCAATTAGCTGTCAGAAATTTAAAGCACTTAAGAATCTCAAACCATCTGGCATTTACAGATCACATTTTGCTTTGTATTTGTTGACAGCAAAGCCACCTAACTACATGTATGTAGCTCCAAAGCCTGTACGTTTTTTGTTTTAAAAGCACCAATACTATAACATAGACATTTATTAAGAAACCCTTCCAGTCGGTGATGGAGATACCCAGTAATGAACTCTGGATCAGACTCAGTTGTATCATATTAGTAATCCTAAAATTAACTTATCTATTATCATATTATATTCCCCTTCTACTACAAATTTTAATGGGTTAGGAAATCAAGTTCTTTTTCAAGTCAAGTTAAGATCATTTAGCAAAAGGAGATTACAATATGAGAAAAATCCAGATTTTACTTGTGAAGTGGTAGAGTTTTCTGTTACCTTAGTGAGTTACTTTCATCTGTTAAAAGAAGAACAGGAGTACTTGTGGCACCTTAGAGACTAACAAATTTATTAGAGCATAAGCTTTCGTGGACT